ACTTGGGTGTTTTGCGTTTGATCACAATTGTTGCGGATAGCAAGAGTCGCCACCGACTTATATTTTATCCAAAAGGAAAGGTTGAAAAGAAAAGAAAAGACCTTTCGAGATTATTTCTTGAGTTCGGGGGGTAGGTTATGAAAAGGGAAGGTGTTAACACCCTTTTCATTTGTAGTTATCTACGGGCTCTTAGTTGCTTGCTAGATCACTTGCTTTTTTGTTTGAAAATGTGTTTGTGGTGTGAGTTTTGAAAGTATTTTAAAAAGGAATGTCTTTGTAATGGTTCTCGTCTCTATAATAAAGCATATAAAGTTTTTTATCTTTTGAAAAATGTTTCAAAGTAAAATTGCAGGTGTATAAAATGTTTTTGTTGTGAGCAAGCAAGAAACTAGGAGTATCCTACCTACTCAAAAGGTCTTAAACGTTCTTTTCCTTCTCCTTTAGATGTTTTTATCTTACCATTGATTTGGTAAGAATCCCCATCATTGGATATGAAGGGACGGGCGTGAGATATTTGTATAATCATAGAAGGCAACCTATGGGACGTTTTAGCAATGTCGTTTAGGGACTAGATGGTTTACTGAAGGCAACATTGAGGGTCATCGGGGGACTACGATCTTTTATCGAGGGTCTTTGCTAAAACGTCCATATTCGAGGGACATGACTATTTTTTCGAGGCAACAAGTGGAATTATCCTAGGGGTGCATGTGTGTGAGTAGTGTGTTTGATTGCATACATTTTGTCTTTTGAACTTTTGGTTATCTACTTGTTGTTTTTATCTTGCCATACATCCTAATTACTAACAATGTATGAAAGCAATAAAAATGCAGAAAATAAATCATAAGCTATTACATCATTTCAGGGATGGGGATACATATTTATAAATGAGGATTGCAAGAATTTAAATCCTAATTATCTATTACAACCATATTGAATTGTACAATACAAAAAAGGGAAAGAATTTGTTTTAAAAAAGGGTTTTTTGGTCTTAATAAATTAAAATTAAAATAATTAGTTAATAAAAAGAAAATATTTTTTATATTAATAAAAATAGTATTAATGCTAAAAATAATAAAAATAAGAAAGAAAAGGAAAAATAACGAAAACAGGATCAACATGTTGCTGAAAACAAAAATGAGAGGGACCAGAAGTTCTGATGCTAGGTACACTGTAGTTCAGAAAGAAACGTTAGAGGAAACCAGAAGTCCTGGGTGTTATAATAGTGAGAAAGACCTAGAAGTTCTGTGTTCTGTGTTACAACAGTGAGAAAGACCTAGAAGTTCTGTGTGCTGTGTTACAACAGTGAGAAAGACCTAGAAGCTTTGTGTGTCGTGTTACAATAGTGAGAAAGACCTAGAAGTTCTGTATGCTGTGTTACAACAGTGAGAAAGACCTAGAAATTCTCTGTGATGTGCTACAACAGTGAGAAAGACCTAGAAGTTCTGTGTGCTGTGTTACAATAGTGAGAAAGACCTAGAAGTTATGTGTGATGTGTTACAACAGTGAGAAAGACCTAGAAGTTCTGTGTGCTGTGTTACAACAGTGAGAAAGACCTAGAAGTTCTGTGTGTTGTGTTACAATAGTGAGAAAGACCTAGAAGTTCTGTGTGTTGTGTTATAACAGTGATAAAGACCTAGAAGTTATGTTTTACAACAGTGAGAAAGACCTAGAAGTTCTGTGTGCTGTGTTATAACAGTGAGAAAGACCTAGACGTTCTGTGTGCTGTGTTACAACAATGAGAAAGACCTAAAAGTTCTATGTGATGTGTTACAACAGTGAAAAAGATCTAGGAGTTCTGTTCTGCAATGTTTTAGATCTCATTGAGATCTATAACTTTCATGTCAGAAGTTCTGATTGAATCATCTTACATCATGGTGAAAATCTGGCCCAAAGTTATGAAATTATCATATTTTCTTATCACTTAGAAAATTTTCTAAGTGTTTAGAATTTGACTTTTCAAAGTAATCTTTGACTTTTGATTTCTTGATGAACCAACTTCATGTTTTGATGGAATATTATTTTTGAAACTTGATTTTGATCAAAAAGTCAAAGTTTGACTTTTCAGTGTGCATTTGACCATTTTGCCCTTGTGAGTGACTTTCTTGGAAAATTGTAATCCGAGACTTGAAACTTGACAGAAGCAATCCCGAGGGTCCAGGATGATCCCTTGAGAAATGAGAGAGCAAATTTTGGGGTACAACATATAATAATAATTAAATAATTATTATTGGGTTAGTTGTATTATTATTAGACTATATTAGAATGAGAGAAGGAAAATAAGAGTCAGTACATGAAATAAGAACAAAAGCATATAAGGTAGAAGAGAGAGAAGCACTAGGAAGCTAGGGAAAGGATTTATCATAGAGATCAAGAACCAACCAATAATCTAAGATAAGAGGGGATTCTAACTCTATAAAAGGTTGTTTAATGATGGGGTATGGTAGGATTTAGGTTGCTTGGTTTTGTGTGTTTTGAATTCTATCGATTTGGTTACTTTTGGGGTTTTTCCCCATTGATGGATTTTTGGTGATTTTTTTATGTTTGTGATGAAATTTCATGACATGAATTTGTTGGTATTAGTATACAATGTCGGTGAGTAATTAGCCTGCTTAAAAGATGAATTTGAATGTGAAAAATATGAAATTTGAGTGGTGAAACATGGGATGATCGTAACATGAAAATTGCAGAATTTTGCCCTGTTATCGCAGGATAATCGGTCACCCACATATGGTAACCGGTTACCCAAATATGGTAACCGGTTACCATATCAAAGGCTGAAACAAGAATAGCTATTATCCTGCGGTAACCGGTTATCATTACTGGGTGACCGGTTACCGCGATAAATTTTGAAAAGGAAAAAGTTACCACTGCTACTGACAACATTTTTGTAAAACTTCTAAAACTTGTAACTTTTACCTCGGGTGTCTGTTTGACACGCCGTTTGTACCGTTGGGAAGATAAAATAATTTCCTATCTTATAAAAATGACTTATAGTGCAGTAGATAATTATTTCACGGACACAGATACCAATCCGCGAGTGTGTTTTGATGTATACCCCATGAATTATGTCGTGGTTAACTGTGATGATTGTTTTGACTGTTTGAGATGAGATACACGATGAGAACGATGATGATGACTTGTATTGGCGAAATTGTGATGAGTAATAACGATAAATTGTGAAGTATGTTGTTGTATGATAGTGTCTCATACATTCACAAAGCGAAGGCCTGTATTGGCGAGCGAAGGTCTGTATTGGCGAGCGAAGTTGATTGCCCTAAAATGATATTATTGCGAAGAGGATTTTACCCTGTTGGTACCACATGCATTGAGTCCGTGTCGATCTTTTGCATCATATTGTATCTGATAATTCAATGGAGGAATATTGATGAAAGTATGCATTATATTACGATAGATGTTATATGTTGATTATGTACTTGAATCTTTACTTGCTCATTATTATGCCTTCTTTTATATTGTTATGATATCTCACCCTTTATGTTTGAATGTTACTTCCACGTGGGTAACGTGCATATGATCCGAAGTAGCTAGAGATCAAAGGTTAGCAGGGGAGCCTTTAGTTGTGTAGATTGAGTCGGTGTCTGCTCTGATACGTAACACTTAGGGATTTCGCGTGATTTGCTTTGTTATATTAGGAGTAAACATGTATTGTTCCGTTGTTTGAATTGTTTTATGATTATGCTGATGTTTGAAAAATAATAATTATAATTCGATTGAAGAATTGAGATGATTAATTATTGATATTTTTCCGCTGCGAATAAATGCATTAAAGTTTAAGACTTATGAGCATACGATTTTGTGTTATGTATCCTAATTTTGAGCATATGTGATTGGCGAAATATGTAACATCCTATTTTATTGATGTTTAATTAAAAATTAATTAATTATTATTATTATATAAATTACCGATGGAAAAATAAGGTCTTATACCACTGTTCAAACAATTTAACAATGCACCACTAGTCACACTATGCTTTTTGAGTTTATATCACCTGCAACCAAAATTCAACAGCACTAGTTCAATATCATTTCATAACAAATTTAAATTGATGACTTTATTTCATGAAATGTAACATGAGAAAAGATATGAGTTATTGTTGTAAGCTAAGTATTGTTGAATTGTATTTCATATCATTATTGATTTCCAATAACACATGTAAGTGTTGGCTATATGGCTTAAAGCCATCAAATTTCTCCTTTCTTCTACTGCTACTGCATTTCTAACATGCATTTTTATTGAACACCTTATGCCCAACATATTTTTTCCTCCCTTACCTGATATAAAAATTCATGGTATTAATTTGAACATAAATATCAATCTAAAATCTCATTTTAATTGAAAAAATAGAACAAGATATAAAGAGAGTGTAGGAAAGAAGTGAAAGTATGTCCCTGATTTTTTTAAAGAGTTGCAAGGTGAATAAATTATATAAACAATGGAGAATTATTGATAATATTGTGTGAAAGAGAGAAAAGAAATGAGTGAAATTATATAAGAATTTGAGTTTTTTGATGTGAAAGAGAATGAATTGTGTAGTGTTGGTGAGAATTGGCAACATCAAAAATAAATAAGGTTAAATTGGACATTTTGATTCACTAAATAGAAAGTAAGTAAGTATGCCATATCATTCGTATGAATTGAACCAGCGTGGGGGTCGTACACAAACATTTCCCTAAGGTCAATGATTCTAGAAACCAAAAAGTGTTATGAGAAATTCGAGAGGTACGAAAAGTTCGGGGGTTTCAAAAGAAATGCACAATTGTAATTGGATATTGAAGTGGGCCTTGGCCTGCTTCATACTGGACTATATATAGATAAAGATGGGTTTTAAAACGGGTCGGGTCAAATTACCGTTTCTCATTTATGATCGATCTAAATCCCCACTTCATCTAAAACCCTACTTCTCTTCCTTCGAGACTCAACAGAGTCTTCTTCTCTTCAACACACTGCTAGGGTTTTCAGAACCCAAATCGCTTCAACAATGTCGATGTCAAAGAGTTCCAAGATGCTTCAATACATCAATTACCGAATGAGGGTAACAATCCAAGACGGTCGTCAACTCGTCGGAAAGTTCATGGCCTTCGATCGCCACATGAATCTCGTTCTCGGTGACTGTGAAGAGTTTCGCAAACTTCCTCCGGTGAAGGGGAAGAAAACGGCTGACGGAGACCGTGAAGATCGCCGGACGCTGGGGCTTGTTCTACTTCGCGGTGAGGAGGTTGTTTCGATGACGGTTGAAGGTCCTCCTCCGCCTGAGGAGTCTCGGTCGAAGGGTGTTAATGCGGCTGCGATGGCGGGTCCAGGAATTGGGAGGGCTGCTGGGAGAGGTGTTCCTCCGGCGCCTGTTATTCAAGCGCAGCCTGGTTTGTCTGGTCCTGTTCGTGGTGTTGGTGGTCCTGCTCCTGGAATGATGCAGCCACAGATCTCGCGGCCTCCTCAGATGTCTGCGCCTCCTGTTTCGTATCCTGGTGGTGTGCCGGGGATGCGTCCTCCGGGGCAGATGCCGTATCCTGGACAAGGTCCACCGATGGCGAGGGGTCCTCCGCCACCTATGCCGCCTGGACAGTTTCCTCAGAGACCTGGTGGTCCTCCACCACAATTTTCCATGCCGCCTCCTCAGTATGGGCAGAGACCTATGGGTCCACCTCCTCCAGGACAGATGGTGAGAGGACCTCCTCCTCCACCTCGTCCGGGTATGCAAGCGCCACCCCGTCCTGGTATGCCTCCTCCTCCTGGAAGTGGTGTTCCGGTGTATGGTCCACCTCGCCCTGGCATGCCCCCACCACCTAATGCTCCAAATCAACAACAGCAAAATTGATTGGTATGTTTTCCAGTTATTTTTCTCTTACTTTTGTTGATGATGATAATTTCTGTTATTCATTTTGCTATCTGAATATTACTGTGTTCTTGAAGGTTAAAGTTTATGACATTGACTGTTATAGAGATATTTTAGTGATTATATCAATCAATGTTCCAAACTGTTGAATTTCAAAACATAGACTATTACTTAACTCAAGTGATTTAATAATATTGGGAAACAAGAATTCTAGTTTCTGTAGAATAGAATAAACAAGCCGTTTCATGTAATTAGAATAAATTGGGAACTTCGTTGTAACAACTTAAGTTAAGTTATTTTTCATAATTATTTGTTATCATGTTTGTTCACATGCAAGTAAGGATCGATTTAAGTACATGTGCTCAGGTACTTTGTGATTGTATTCTTTTGTTTATTGGACTTTTGAGTAAACCCTACTTGTACTTCTTGCCTTTTTATTTTTCATATAAACATACAGATAGGAATACCACATTTATTAAGAAAATTTTAACATTTTCATGAGAATAGCAATTTACACCATATTTTATGACTTTCTACTGAATTCATTTCACAGCATGAAACAACTTTCATATTCTCTTCCAATTTTTTTTCACAGCCATACTTAAAGAGTCCTAGTATGAGTCAAGACTAATCAGCTGTAACGAGGCTAAAGTGTGAAAAAATAGCCATATGATTTCAGACAACAAAAACTGAATAATTTAATCAACAAAACATTTTAGTCAATTCTCCCATAAAAAAACATTTTAGTCAATTCTGGTAATATGCCAGCTTGTCATAGAGAGACTCCATTGATATGTATGCTGTGTAGAAAGAGCCCTTTTGTAGAACCCAGCAAATTCCTGATGTATTTGTGATAATGAATAGAAACCCTGTAATAGCTTGCATACACAGTTGAATCACTCAGAGTAGTCAATAGCGGTGCTATCCCGCTATAGCTAAGCAGTGCAGAGGCTGACTGCTATGGGAATAGTCCTTAACGGTGCAGAAAACTTTAGCGGCAGCTATAGGGTAAATAGCGGGTAGCGGGGTCGTCGTGGTTCCAGTCTGGAGTGGTTTCTGTCCGGTTAACCTTTTCCCTCTGAAAAACCAAAATAACCTGTTAAATTTAAAATGTTTTAGGGTAGTTGAGCTTTTCAATCAAATTTGAGTTGACATTTAACCCTAACCTTTCTTTACCAACGTTCCTGCACTTCAGCATTTCCAAAAAAAATCTAGAGTTCCTCCCTCACCTCCCTCTGAACTTGTGTCTCCCCTTTGCACTTCATATGTTTATAATTATTATTCATGTAATTTGTCCAAAAAATGGTCAAATAGTTGCCAGCCTGCTATCCCATTTTTGGGGTTGGCCGCTCCACGCCACTATTAGGGATTGGCTACTCTGATCTATATGTCATGCCGTCTAGTGTACTCATTACAGTTTCTAGAAGTTTCTTGCATTCGTTTTAGTCACCTGACATTTGCTTAAATAAGGCTATTTGAATCTCAATGTATATAATAGGCTCTTATATGTCTCCAGGGTTGCAGTTTCTCTAAAACCCCTTCAGTATAGCTAATGGCTGCTTCTTTCTCAGGATTCAGTTGAGAAACCACCATAGCAAAATGTGCTGCTAGCTTGAGAAGGTTGATTTTAAATCATTATGAAAATTTATCAGATCATCACTGGCCTGAATTCTAAATAATAGTAACCAGTCTAACTAATAAATTATAAACCATGATAACATGAGCAAATGATCACTTGATTGAGTATTAGTGAAAACCTTCATGGCTGTAGTATAGCTGTACCTAAGTTGATTGTTTACATCCTACATCTTGAAGTTTTTTGTTTTTCTTCATCTTGTAGCAGGTTTAATTTTACTTGTGTGACCTGTGTGTAACTGACATCTCTTGAATGCTAAATGCGAAACTTCATATTGTTACAGGAGTCTTCTTGCTGGAGCTCTGAAGTTACGGAGATTGGACTTCTTATCACAGCTCAATATCCAACTCCGTGAGAGTAATTGTCACTTGTACAACCTTGAATCAGTCTCTTATTAGGGTTTTTATTGATGTTGTGATGAGAACGTTTATATTAGAACAACATTTATGTTTTGGAGGAAGATATTGTACTGAAACTCGCATTAAACATCCAAAACTGGCAGTGTAGATTGTTGGATAATTTTGCTAAATCAGCTTGTTAATTTCTAAATTGTAGGGCATGGTTTGTCTCATTTAAATGTTTTGTGCTATATAACATAATTATATTTTCCAAATGTTCCTTCAGTAGTGTTTCTCTATAACTTGCTTGCTCTTGGTTCTTCAATTGATTGAAAATGATTAACTGAATTGGTAATTTCAAGAATTAGTTTCTAGTCGGTGTTTAGTCTCTGTAAAAATGGGGTGAGTACTTTTGTAATATGTGAATGTTTAATCGGATTCCATACCGAACATACATGTTTATGAGCCAAACACATTATTAGTTTTCCATCGTAAAAAGAGAAGCTACGTGTAACTCCTGAGCTAGACGCGCGTCTGTTAATTTTCCATCGTGTAAAAGAGAAGTTACAAAGTGTAACTTGTCACATACATGTCTGTTGGTTTTCTAATGTGGAAACAAACATGCAGTAGTAGACCCTTCCCACTTAGTCCAAATCAAAAACATGTGTAACAAAATAATTCGTTTGAATAGTTATTGTATATAACTGGCAATTATAGTAAGTGATAAGACAATTTTGCTTTTAAATTTGAATTCATATTTATTTAATACTAAAAATTTATTAATTTGTAAATCAATATTAAATAAAATTATACTTATATTTTATTATAGATTGGTTTACTGACTAGTATTATTAAAAAACTAGATCTCTTCTTTGTTTGGTCTACACCATTTTAATTTATATACATGTAAGTGTTACTGTTTGTTTGTTGGCATTTTTTTTGGTAAAACCAGTTTTGTGAATGTCATGACTGATGTCATAACATTCTGGGATAAAAGGTACATTCTGCAGAAAAAGAATGTCATACAGGAGCTACTCAATATGATTGTTTAGCATGATCATTAAGCAATGATCATATTTATTGCTGCATTCTACCAAAATCAGTGAACAAGATTCATGTTGTCATAACCAATGTTAAGACATCCTGTACTGATCTAACATTTGTGCAGATTTGTTATTCTTGAGAATTTTCAGGAATCTGGTATGTTGTTGTATACAATCCATATCAGATGCTCACGTGGACATTAGGTTAACCCTGCTTAACCCTAATCTGGTTTATGAAAACCTAAGATCAAGTCTTGAGGTTAACTCGAATTAACCCTAGCTATTTTCGTGGAAGCCCTAACTGAAGAATAGCCTGCCTATATATTCCTCATGAAGATTATTGGTGAAAAACACTTTTTGACAGAAGGTCAATAAGGGATTGTATAGTTGTAACTACTGTGAGCCAAGCAATTATCATTGTGATAAGTGACTTGGAGTAGGATTTGATTGTAAGGGTTGTGTATCACTCAAAGCTTTGAAGCACGAGTGTTTGTGTCACTTGATTAAAGCTTTGAAGCAAATTCAAGTTAGGGTTGTTTATCACTCAAAGCTTTGAAGCACGAGTGTTTGTCACTTGATTAAAGTTGTGAAGCAAAATCAAGTGTGTGTACTGAAGAGTGTCTTCATAATCTCATTAATCAATAGTTTAGTATCACTACTGTGATTGAGGGAAAGTGAGTAGGAACTCGGGTTTAAGTTGAACTTAGATTGAAGTTGCATTGGGTAGGTCTTAAGTGAAGGAGATAAACTGGTTGGTTTATTCCTGAATTAATATCTCTTATAGTGAATTTCCTCCCTGGCTTGGTAGCCCCCAGAGTACGTGTTGTTATACACTGAACTGGGTAAACAATTGATTGTGTCTTTACTACTTTTAAATTTACTGTCTTGAAGTGTGTCAGATACGGTGTCATAACATTCACTGTGACATTAAGTATCTGTTGCCAGAATTTTAATTGGCATCAGAGCAGGCACCCTGCCTGTCTTACTGGGTGAGATCTAAGGATATTATTTTCTGGCGCTATGGAAAAAGAAGGAGGATTTGGGAACAGACCACCCATTTTGGATGGATCAAATTATGACTACTGGAAACCTCGTATGATTGCCTTCTTAAAATCACTGGACAAAAAGGCTTGGAGAGCTGCTGACTAAGGATGAAACCTTCCCACCATAACTGGGAAAGATGGGACAACCAGTCTGAAACCTGAGGAAGAATGGAGCAAAGAAGAAGATGAGTTAGCCCTGGGTAACTCCAAAGCATTAAATGCCTTGTTCAATGGAATTGATAGAAACATATTCAGACTAGTACATCAATGTGAACTGGCCAAGGATGTTTGGGACACTCTCAAAACTACCCATGAGGGTACATCCAAAGTAAAAATGTCAAGGCTTCAGATGCTGACTACCAAATTTGAGAACCTAAGGATGATGGAAGATGAGACCATTCATGAGTTTCATATGAACATCTTGGAAATTGCCAACACCTCAGGAGCATTGGGAGAAAAGATGTCAGAAGAAAAACTGGTGAGAAAGATTCTCAGATCCTTGCCTAAAAGATTTGCAATGAAGGTGACTGCTATAGAGGAAGCTCAGGATATCTGCAACTTGAAGGTTGATAAACTCATTGGGTCACTTCAGACTAACAAGAGCATAACACTTGTATCTAATACTGAAGATGAAAACAAGGAGGATGATGAAGAGAATATTTCAGAAGCTATAGCCATGCTTGGAAGGCAGTTCAACAAACTCATCAAGAGAATGGACCCAAAGTCAAGGTCAAATGTCAAGAACATTCCCTCTGACATTAACAGATCCTATGACTCCAGCAGAAGACCAAAGTCTGAAGAAAAGGGAAATCAAAGCAAAGGAATCCAATGCCATGGATGTGAAGGATATGGGCACATTCGAGCTGAATGTCCTACCTTTCTTAAGAAACAAAAGAAAGGAATGTCTGTTACTTGGTCTGAT